CTACTACTACTGCTACTACTGCTACTACTACTACTACTACTACTACTACTACTATTACTACTACTACTACTAGTACTACTACTACTACTACTACTACTACCTACTACTACCTACTACTACTACTACTACTACTACTACTACTACTACTACTACTACTACTACTACTACTACTACTACTACTACTGCGACATACGTAAACTGAAACGACGACTACGACTTCGACTACTACCACCGCTACTTTGTTACTGCTGTTGCTGCTGCTGCTACACTTCATCAAGTACGGCCCCCACCACCAACACTGAAAAACACCCACACCACCATCACCAATCACCAATACTTCAATTAATAATCATGAGGCAGCTGCCTTGGGAGCAGGACGGCGGGCGGCCACCCTGGGGTTGAGGCAGCAGTACACGTCGCACGGGCAAGCGTTCGTTATGGTGAAGGGCGCCTGCACCTCCGGCCGGGGACCCCAGCCGAGCGGGCGCGGGGGCGACACCAGGGAGCGGACAGTGCCCAGGGCGTTTCCACGGAGCGCGCATCAATTCCACATGTCCTCGAACGGGCATCCCTCCTTCATTCGAGAAAGGATCGCGGTCCTGATGGAGCAACCAGCACGGCGCACCAGCAAGCCCGCCGCACCAGCAAGCCCGCATGGGCGACGAAAACAAACGGGTCTTACGCGAGAAGACATGGCGACCTCACGCGACGGCATACGGGAGCCGCCAGCATGGCATTTTCACATGGAGAGGAGGGCACTCACATGGGAAACTTACGCGCGAAATGTCCCCGCAATCAACCCAATGTGCTCCCTTACTGGGTGATGCGCAGAAACAGGCAAGTCGCTTAAGATATCCCGGCGCGAACGCGGGAGTGCAACACCCGCTGGCGGCTAACCCCTGGGGTGCCCAAATGCTACGCCTGCCATATCCCCGTGTGCACTGGACCACCAAAAAGGGATGTCGGCGGCACTGAAACAATTGTTTGATCAGCGGGTCGAGAGCGAGCCTCTTCCGGTCGAAGCTAAGCGGGCCGCGCACAGCTTTAATTAGTAAAGGGGGGGCAGAAAGAGGGGCCTCACGCCAAGGCCGGGAGGGGGCAAAGCCCCGGAATCAGGCGGTGCCGAAGACGGGCGGCACTGAAACAAACAAACGGCTTGAGCGCGGACGGGGGAGTGCGACAACCCCTGGTAGCCCCCCCCTGGGTTGCCCAAATGCCACGCCTGCTGTACAGCGATGTGAGTGAGTCGTAGAGTGGCAGTGAATCGGTGTATAAGTGTGCGCGAGCATGGGTGGGTCTGAGTGTGAATAAGTAGGATTTGTGTGGGGGGGTATGTTATTTCCGACGTCATTTCCGACGTTTTTCGGTACACGGGGATATTTCCGACGTCATTTCCGACGTTTTTCGGTACCCGGGGACAGGGGGGTATAGAAAACTCCACTTCCGGAGCCCCCCCCCGGATCGGCGGCACTGGCCGGAGGCCAGCCCAATAAGTAGGATTTGTGTGTGTACCAGTCTTAGTACGATGGGTACGCGTACAAGTGTTTCGGTGTGAATGGGTCTGAGCATGAAGGAACGGAGTGTGATGACAACGTAACTGAGAGGAGAGAAGGGTAGGAGAGAAGAGGTGATGGGAAGGAGTATGAGTAAGTCCGACTCTGACTGTGAGGAAGTATGAGGTCGGCGGGATTCCAATCTGCACCATCTCAGGATATGAGAGCGGGAGGCAGTTGAGTGAATGAGTGAAGAGCGGAAGCGTCCCAGTAAGAACAAAACCTCATCTTGGGATCTGGTTAGATAGGGCTTGTCCTCCTACAGGCGGATTTGGGAGGACAATTAAAACAGTCCGATGTATAAAAACAAAAACAATAAAAAAATCGTCCCCTGAATATTTTGGGACTATTTTTGAGTACGTATTCAACCACACTTCGGGTGATAAGGGGTTGTGGGGGAGGAGAGGGGGGGAACCAACACCTGACTCAATCGATCTCACTATCGATCTCACTCAACGGGACACCACGGGACACCACGGGACACCACGGGACACCACGGGACACCGCGGGATTCCGCGGAACACCTCTCGATCTCACTATCGATCTCACTATCGATCTCACTCAACAGGACACCACGGGACACCACGGGCCACAACGGGACACAACGGGAGACCGCGGAACACCTCTCGATCTCACTATCGTTCTAACTATCGATCTCACTATCGATCTCACTCAACGAGACACCACAAAACACCACGGGACACTACGGGACACCACGGGACACCTCGGGACACCACATCGATCTCACTATCGATCTCACTATCGATAAAACTATCGATCTCACTGTCGGACTCGGATTCGGACTCGGACTCGGACCTGCGAAGTGCACGCCGGCGGGGGCGCTGCAGGCGGGCGCCGTGGCGCCATGATGTGAAAAGTGCGCGGCGGCAATCTCTCTGCGCGATGCAGTTGGGGAGGGAAAAGGACGCACGAAGGGAGAGAGGCACGCACGACAAGCGAGGACGAGAGGCGAGGCCGAGGGAGGGAGGGAAGGAAGATCTCACTATCAATCTAACTATCGATCACACTCAACGGGACACCACGGGACACCACGGGACACCTGTCGATCTCACTATTGACCTCACTATCGATCTCACTTTTGGGGACACCACGGGACACCTCGGGGCACCACATCGATCTTACTATCGATCTCACTATCGATTTCACTCAACGGGACACCACGGGACACCACGGGACACCTGTCGATCTCACTATCGATCTCGCTATCGATCTCACTTTTTGGGGCACCACGGGACACCTCGGGACACCTCGGGGCACCACATCGATCTCAGAATTGATCTCACTATCGATCTCACTATCGATCTCACTGTCGATCTCACCATCGATCTCACTCAACGGGACACCACGGGAAACCCCGGGACACCACGGGACACCGCGGGACACCGCGGGGCACCGCGAGCCACCGCCGGACGGACGGGCGGGCGGGGGACATCACGGGACACCACGGGACACGCGGGACACCGCGAGCCACTGCCGGACGGGCGGGAGGGGGAGAATCATAGTCTCGACTTCGCCCTGGCAACGGCGGGTTCACTCCTCTCGCGCGCCCACGCGGCTTCGCCTCGCCCGCGCGCACGACACGAACGAAACGAAGCGAGTTCCCGGTTGGGGGTCTCGGTTCCACTGCGATCTCACCCCCCAACCTCCGATTCCTCCTGTAGAGGGGCAGGCCCTACGTAAGGATGTGGGGAAAACAGGCCAGACTCGCGGCCAGGGGGGCCCGAGAGGCCTCGAGAGGACGACCCCGAGGAGCTCCGACGAGGGCCGCAAGAGCCACACACGGCCGAAGATGGCCCCACAATGCCTCTGAGATCGGGGGCGGAAGGGGCCGTCCAAGAGGGGGGGGGCGCAAATCATGGCCGGCGGCATGTGCGCGGCCCAGGGGGGGGCCAGGGACGTAATGAAATAAGAGGCAACATGAGATCTGCGGAAACATCATGGCCCACGCAATGATATCCACCCCCCCTAGTCGTCACCCCGCTCTTGGTCGACCCGATGAGATGTCGCAGCTGGGCCTCAAGACGGCCCCGGGAGGGCAACTAACCTTTGAAGCGAATGATGCTTTCCAGGTCCGATGCCATGTCCGATGCGTTGCAGATCGAATTCAAAAAGAATCACACAGAGTCCCCGAGGTCGCCAAAGACGGCCCCAAGGTGGCCCCAACGTGCCCCAGGACGCCGCCCAACTCGCCCAGGATGGCTCTCGAGATGGGTCCCGAAGTTCCCAGGATAGCCTCGGGGTTGCCCAAGATGGCCCGAGCGAGCATCGTTTAACCGATCCCCCCATCCCCCCCAGCGTGGGCTGGGCACCGCTGGCCGATTTACCCACCTGACAGGGGATGTAAGCTACTCTCTTCGGGTATCCCCAACTGAGGTGGTGAGACGGTGGGGCTCGAGAAGTGCATGGGGATGGGGATAGGGTTGGGTCGGGCATGTCCCCCTACAGGGGGATTATGGGCGACAAATCAAACATACTTATAATATATATACATACATACGCACTCCAAAAATGCTCAAAACATAATCGAACAATCGTCCATGCTCAAAGCATAGTCGAACAATCGTCCCCAGACTATTTTCACTATTTTTGAATTTTCCCCCTGTGGAGAGACAGGCCCGCCTCACGGATAGGGATCGGTGCGACGGTGCTGACCGAGGGTGGCCCCAGCTGCCCCACCACGTCCCCGAGGGGGCCCCCTGCTGGCCACCACCACGTCCCCGAGGGGGCCCCCATGCTGTCCCCGAGGGGGCCCCCTGCTGATCGGTTCAACGATACTGACCGAGGATGGCCCCAGCTGCCCCACCATGTCCCCGAGGGGACCCCCTGCTGGCCCCAAAAACTGCTCCGACGGGGCCACGGGACGGCCCCACCTGGGGGGCCGCCTGCAAGGCGTGGGCGACCCTGCGCTCAACCGCCTGCGTCGCCGCCGGCCGTCCCCTTCGGTGGCAACTCACGGCAGCCTCCTCCTCCTCCTCCTCCGCCTCGACGCTACTCGACGCTAGCCGACGCCAAATCGGCGCTATCTCATCGACTCCCAAGCGCCAGTCGGGAAGCTTGGACGAGGAAGCCGACCACGCGGCATTTGGTAGTCAGGCTGGCAAGTGCTACATGCCGCAATATGTAGTGATGCAGAAGACTCAGCTGTTAAGCTCAGGCCGCCATTGCCTCCAATGCGGGGGCTGCGATCAGTGGCTGCGCCTCCCCTGGCGATGCTGGTGCGCCGAACAGGACCTTGCCGAAGCACGCGCATGCTGGCAGGCCGTCTGGCTTCCCACCTAGTGGGGGGCACGTGCAAGCGCTGATGCAGCACATGAACTTGCTGTGCGAGTAGATGCAGTCCCGATCCGACGGGCAGGCGTCGGTGGTGTAGCATGCGGAACGAACGCAGCAACACTTTCTGTTGGCCTTGCAGAAGGGCTCGGAGCAGTTCGGGGTGAGTCCACACCCCGTGCACAGGCAATAACTCGCCGACCCCGCCTGCGGGGGTGACACAGCATATGTGTCTCTTAAAAAGTCTGGGTGAAGGACCGCATGTACACGTGCGAGTAACGCAATTGTGAGAGTCGTCTGCGGTGGAGCTCCCAATGGGGACGCAAAACGTGTGAGGGGTGTACCGCGGACATGGGTCAGGCGGACGCATGTGGACCCTGCCACTGGCGCCTTCGGTGGAGCTCCCCACGGAGCCACGAAACGTGTGAGGGGTGTGCCGACATGGGGCGGGCGGATAACATGTGGACCCTCCCCATGGGGCCTTCGGTGGAGCTTTCTACTGTGGCGCCACGAACCGCGTTCAGGGTGTGCCGACATGGGGCGGGGGACCCATGTGGACCCTCCCACTGGGCCCTTCAGTGGAGCTCCATGTGAGGCCACGAAGCGCTGTGTTGGGCGGGGGAGACGCGCGCGGGCCCTCTCACTGGGACCTTCAGTGGAGCTCCCTTATGGGACCTCGAACCATGTGAGGGGTGTGCCGAAATGGGTCGGGAAGACGCGCGTGGACCCTCCCAATGGGACCCTCGGTGGAGTTCCCTCCCTATGGGGCACCGAAACGTGTGAGGGGTGTGCCGACATGGGTCAGGCGGACAAATGCGGACCCTCTCACTGGGGCCTTCGGTGAGGCTCCCCACGGGGCCAAAAAACATGTGAAGGGTGTGCCGACATGGGGCGGGCCACGATGCGTGTGAGGGGTGTGCCGAAGTTGGTGCGGGAGACGCATGTAGACCCTCCCAGTGGGGCCCTCGGTGGAACCCCGTGTGGGGCCACGAAGCGTGTGAGGGGTGTGCGGGCGGACGCCTGTGGACCCTGCCACTGGGGCCTTCGGAGGAATTCCCAATGAGCACATTTTGATCCGCGGGTCGAGAGCGCACCTCCTCCGGTCGAAGCTAAGCGGGCCGCGCGAGGCTTGAATCAGGCACAGAAGTTTCCAATGAGGACATGAAACTTGTGTGTGTGTGTGTGAGGAGTCTGCCGACGTGGGGCCACGAAGCGCTGTGAGGGGCGTGCCGAAATGAGTGGCGGGGGGCGCATGCGCTCCCTGTGAAGCCACGGAGCGCTGCGTCCGGGTGGGGGGGGGCGCGCGCGGGCCCTCCCACTGGGACCGGACCTTCGGTGGCGCTCCCTCGTGGGGCCACGAAGCGCTGCACTGAAGGGGCCCCAGGACACACAAAGAAATACATACAAATAAAAGGATTCCCCACATTTTCCCATATGTTTTGGGTTTTTGTCCTCCGCCCCACTCCCCATGTTTTCCCACGTTTTCTGGGGAATCGACGATTCATTGTGTCTGTGTGTCTTTTTCCCTCCTGATGCACTGGCGCATAGTGTGGGGAGAGAGCGCATGTGGACCCGGCGACTGGGGCCCTCGGTGGAGCTGCCGATGGGGGCCACGGAGCGCTGTGCCGGGTGCCGGGGGGGAACGCACGCGGACCCTCTCGCTGGGCCTTCGGTAGAGCTCCCCGTGGGACCACGAGCCTTCGGTGGAGCTGCCCGTGGGCCACGTGGGGCCACGAAACGCGTGAGGGGTGTTCCGGCATGGTGCGGGGTGACGCACGCGGACACTCCCGGTGGGGACTTCGGTGGAGCCCCCTTTGTGGGGCCACGAAACGTGCGAGGGGTGCACCGTGATGATAGCGGTGATGATAGCGGTGATGATGATGATGATGATGATGACGATGATGACGATGATGATGATGATGGTGATGATGATGATGACGATGATGATGATGTTGATGATGCTGATGCTGATGATGATGATGATTGGGTGTTGGTGATGATGACGGTGATGATGGTGATGATGACGGTTGTGTGATGGTGATGCTCAGACTGATGACAACTATGATGCTCTTGTTGTTGGTGGTGATGATGACAATGATGATGATGATGCTGCTGATGATGATGGTGATGATGATGGTGATGATGCTGGTGATGCGGATGATGGTGTTGATCATGACGTTGATGAAGATGATGAGTAGGATGATGAGCATAATGATGATAATGGTGGTGACGATGAATATGATGGTAATGATGATAATGATGATGGGCATGATGGCGATGATGATAATGATGGTGGTGAAGATAACAATGATGGCGATGGTTTTGATGGTGATGATGAAGGTGATAACGATGAATGTGATGATGACGCTGCCGATGATGATGATAGTAACGGTGTTCCTGATGATGGTGATGGTGACAATGCTGATGATAATGTTGATGGGGATGGTGATGATGATGGGGGCGGTGGTGGCGGCGGTGGCGGTGGCGCCGGCATGTAGTCGCGGCGGCGACGGCGGTGGTGGCTGCGATGGTGGCGGCGGCGGCGGCGGCGATAATTTTCCTCGACGTCAGGGCCAACATCTGATATCAGGATATGGTGTACAATGAAACCAGATTTAAAGTGATCCGTCGCAGAGAGCCGACTGTCTCGCGCTGCCCCGCTTGGGCCAGACTGCCAGGGTGCTGCTCGGAGGGGCCTCCTGCGCAGCGCGTGCCAAGCAGCGTCAAAATGCTAGCTGAGATATTCGGCCGCTTCTTCTTCGGCGGTTGCATCATGCCCAGGTGGGGCCCCCACCTCACACTGCTCCTCTGGACGTGCTGGCACGGCAGGGGGGGGGGGAGGCGCGACGGAGGAGGGGGGGCATGTGGCCGGCCGTGACCGCGCCGCTGCTGGCAGGGAGGTCTTTGCCTCGAACGAAATTGACGCGGCGTTGAAACGCCTCCTCTCCGCTGCGGCCTGCACTGTGGCCTGCAAGCTCGCTCTGGCAGAAAAAGACGGGTTCACTGCTCGAGCGTCTCTAGCCTCCTCCTCGAGCCAGCCCACTGGGCCCGCGTCTCGGTGGTGGACCGCCTGGCCCTCGGCCTCGAGGGCGCGGTTGATCAGGATTTGGCCCTCCCACACGGGCGCGCCTAGCGCGCCGATCACCAGCTTCGTCTTGTCGTGGTCGTTGCACTTTTCCAGGCGCGCGAAGTTGATGGCGTCGAGGATATCTTCCTTGCTGATCTCTGTCTCCGCCTCGATGTCCTCGACGGCGCCCGTCATGGAGCCGCCCACGTCGCACATGCACAGTCCTTCTAGGGCCGTCAGCGCGCGGGGCGGAGCTGGCGACCCTATCCCCTGCAGGCATTTCTTGTCCTCTGGGGGGCCGCTCTTCCTGAGGGGGTCCATAATGTGCTCGTAGCTTTCGTGCTCCTGCGTGATGGCATATACGCCATGCTCGTCGTAAATGTCTAACTGCATGATCTCGATGTTCCGTTCGGCCTTCTTCGCGGCCCCGTGAATGCCCAGTGTGGCCAGGGTGTCCTGCTTACCGATGTTATGTGCGTATTGAGTTCCATTCTGTATGAGTCCTATCCTCAGATACAATCGCCATACATGGTCGAAACAGCGAGGTAAACGCACGCATGCATGAATGTCCTGAATCACATTGCCAGTGGGGATTTTCCCTTTTTGGCCGATGTCGAAAGTCTGGATGATGGCGGAGCTGACGTCGTGATCGATCTCGAGCTTCCGTCGACTGGGGTGATAGACTCGCTCAGCGAGCGGGTCCGCGCATTGATGATCTGCAGTGTCATGTCCCATTCCTGCCCTTTGAACACCAGTGCGCATCAGGTGCTGTAGGGCGAGGAGCACGATGGTGAGTTCGATGGGCCTTGAAGAGAGGTAGGTGGGTCGTCGGACTGGAATTTATGATCAGGGCGCTCGTCACCAGGGTCACGTTCATGTCGACCTTTAAGTCCAGGTGGCAATTCAAGCCACTGGTGGCGGTTCAGGTGCAGCGTGGTGTAGTCCTGCACGTACCAGCCCTCTGTGTTCGTGAAGACGTTGAAATTGAAGTTCATCGTCCAGTCGTCCAGGGTCAGCGTGTCGTTCTCCTGCATGTGCTGGCCCTCTATGTCCGTGAAAAAGTTGGAATTGACGCTCGGCGTCCAGTAGTCCTTCGCGAGCTGGGTGTGTAGGTAGTGGTCCAGCGTCCAGTAGTTCGGGGTCGGCGTGTCGTAATCCTTCATGTGCTGGCCCTCTGCGTTCATGGAGATGTAGCTCAGCGCCCACGTCCCGCACGTACTGGCCCTCTGTGTTCGCGAAGATGTTGAAATTGACGTTCAGCGCCCAGTCGTTCAGGGTCCGCGTGTCGTAATCCTGCATATGTTGGCCCTGTATGTTCGTGATGATGTTGGGGTTGATACTCAGCGTCCAGTAGTCCTTCGCAGTGTGGGTGTGGGGGTAGTAGTCCAAGTGGCAAGTCACGTTCAGCGTGCAATTGTTCCACTGGTGGCAATTCATGGGCCGCATGGTGTGATCCTGCCTGTGCTGGCCCTTTGTATTCGTGAGGGTGCTGTTGTTGAAGCTCAGAGTCCAGTAGTTCAGGGTCAGCGTGTCGTAATACTTCAGCATCGGCATCGTCGTCTGACCGGCGGTCAAGTGCTTGGGCCATGCGCACGTCCATGTTCCTGGTGTCAGCGAGCAAGTCCCGCGCTCAGCAGGTGCGCGGCGCCCGCGCTCCGGAGCACGTCCACGGCGGCATGGCGGCGCGCGTGGCATCGTCAGGAGGCCCCCTGCCTTTCGGGCAGGGCGAGGGGGCGGTGACTGGAGGCCGCTGCTCCATCAACGGCCTGAGCGCGCGGCGGCCGCGGCGGCGATAGTGGCGATGATGACGACGGAGAGGGAGGAGGAGATGCGAGGTAGGGAGGAACGCGTGGCGCTGTCTCTTCGAAACGAAGGCCCAACAGCACAGGATGGTTGGGTGGGAGGAAACTTCTAGAAGTCCGCGCGGAGCTCCAAAAGTTGACGTTTACGCTCGGCGGCGCTCCGAAGGAGGCGGAGGGAGGGAGGGGGGAAGGCTTTTTCAGGAATGGTTTCTTAAAAGGCGCCGGCCTTGCATCCATAGACAAGGCCCGCGCCTTGTAACAGGCAGATTTGTTCTAAAGGGCCCTCCACCGCCCCCCCACTGCCCTGCGCGCGCGGCTGAGATG